GAGGACGCAGTTCACATAATAACTAATTCCAGACGGAGCGCGAGTATGAAACGAGCCGTCGATACCTGTATTGCGGGGTGACGGAAATCAGTAAACGTTCGAAGAAGACCCTCCAGAAGCGTCAACACACCCATTTCCGAATTACGTCCACGAAAATTGGCACCGCTGCAGGGAAATTTGGGGTGGATTCAGCCGTGTTGACGTCCCGCACTTGGGGAACACCACAAACAACCGGTACGAGCTCGCATGATATTATCTGGGTAGGATGGTAAACTAACTCATGTATAACTACTTAGTTTGGAAGTAGCGTGAGGACATTTGAAGGATGTCCTGAAGCCAACGATGGAGTCGATGGGTGCGTCGATACCCTCCCGTTCTTGTAGTCAATTGCTGAGATGGAGTACGCGAAAAAGATAACAGACGTTGGGTTCATGCGATACGCTGGGCTGATGCTAAGCTGACAAAGCTATCCAAAGATGTCAGCCAGCATGCCTACGAGCTGGTGGAGAATCAATATCGAGTCGGGATTGACCGCAGGACAACGTATACGACGCGCGAGCTGCAACCTCACATGATCGAGATGGTGTCGACAGTTAATACGAGACGCAAGTATCAACTCGCTACTAGGGTGCGTGTTTCGTTTTTTTATAATGGTTGCAATGTATGGCTACTAATTAAAGTTTCGTTTTGGTTTTATAGACGTATCACTGTTCGTGTATTTTCATAAGGACAGAGCTGTTACCTTGTCTACACGCAATATACTGACGCTTACTTGCTGGAAAAAGCCCGATCCACATTCATCCTCGTTGGAGCCTATCGTGCTCTCTAAATATCCCTGTCGAAGAGGACGATGATGCTGAAGACGGAGAAGCCATTGGCGGAGAGTGTCGAGTCCGTGATTCCGCCTAGACAGCAGCGCGCCACAAAGTGCTCAGCGGAACAAATAAATTCCAGACGTCACACGCCGTCGCGACGCGAATTGCAGACATTATGAGCCGAAACGGAACCGCCGTCTTCGTTCGAATGCTGGAAGGTCTCAAGCACTTTGAATTAATTGTAACGGAGGCGCCTTTCGCTTCGCAAGCTTCTGTTTGGCCCGATCGCCTCTCAAGATTAGATCCCCTTTCTCAGATTTCTGAGATGCAAGACAGTGGAGCAATGGACTTTGATGACATTTCTGTCCCTCCAGCTGCAATCGCTGACGCCACTTCTTTCGAGCACGAGAGTAAAATTGAGGAGCGTACAACTGGCGTTGACTTGCCAGGCGGTACCTTTCCTGACACTGTGACTCGGTCACCAAGTCACTCCGACTGTGTGACAATTTGTTCAAGTCACCGGAATCACACAGTAGAGGTGATGAGTGGATCGGGCCACGCTACAGGCTTCAGTCGCTCAGTCCGAGAGACTAGTATTGTGGAAGCAACCTTAGGGCAAACCGATGCTAGCTCACGAGGCGGTGACAACCAATGACCCTGCCATAATGAAACAAGTGGCACCTCCAGTGAAAAGGTCGCTCTCAGAGGGTGGACAAACTAGTCTAGTTCAAGTGAGGAATTCTCGATCTTCGTCTCAAAAGGCACCAAAAGCAAAGGTCGGCCCAAGGTACGAAACATCAAAAGCAGCTGATCAAGAAGCAGCGTATGACGAGCTCTCGGAAGGAGGCCAAACAGCTCGTGCAAGGAACGTTTCTACCAGTTACGACGCTCAATAATGTGGTAAGGGTGCTAAAGTCGACCTACACCTACGAATCGGCACACGAATTCTCATCCAACTTCAAGGTTAAGATGATGGACCGCAGGAAGCAGGAAACAGCGACGGTGATCGCCCCCAATGAGGCCTTAAGCAGCGTCAAGTTCGTATTTTCTGAGCCGTTCACGCACAAGTTTCCGAAAACTCTTGGAAGTATATAGAGAGTCGCTGCTAGATCCTGGACTACCCGTCGGTGTTTGTATTGCCAAGATAGGGGTCATCAGCGAAGTGCAAGTGCAAGTAATGGTGGAGTATCATCACAGAATGGCATCGCTGACGGGCATTTCTGAAGCAATTGAGTGGATGTCTGCTACGTCGCTTAACAGACTGGACGTCCTCGAAGGTCTCGGCGAATATACGGACCTAGACAAGCCGAAGGCTACGCTAGCGCTGCAGCAAGTTGTCCTACCAATGTCACGCTTGACACCGTTCGGAATGGTGCCAAACGAGTCGTTACTCCTCTTGCGAGAAAATTTATGTCTCAGCGACGATTGATAATATGATGCACGTAATGACGACTATTCAAGAAGAGTTTGGGCGCTGGATTTATTTTATCTGGGGTTACTGGGACTGAAAACGCAGACAGCCAACAGAAGATCATTCGAGGTTCAGATCCGTTCCTGGAGAAAGCACTTACGTGTTACTACCGATTCGCATCAACAGAAACCACTGGTGCGGTGCCGTCCTCGACTTAAAGTCCAAACCAGCGCGGATCACAGTATTCGACCCACAAGAGAAGCCGAAACAGCTCGATACATGCGAAGACATCATCAAGCAAATATTTCCAGACATGGTGGCTAACGTGGAATGGAAACGTGAGATGCGACTGAAGCAGGCAGACGGACATAGTTGCAAATCCCTTGTTTTCCTGCTTTTTTGTGCACGATACGCGACATTGCCTTGTCCAAGTCTCCGTCTAGTACACTGCTTCAATACTACAGACTGAGGTACATGCTAAAATCTCTGCATTTCTAGGACAATAGATATCAAGTTCCACGTAGGCTGTCGTGCTTAAAAGTGGAATATTTCATTCAGCTCATACATGTAGCTGGCCGCTCAATTGATTCCATAATCATCTCGCTACTCGTACATCACCGTGTTGGGTAGAATAGTCGTATCAGCTTAGTGCTGCAACGAGGGTCTTTGCTTTGGTACTCCTTGAAACTACCCACAAAAAACGGTAAGTCATTCGTACATTCCAACAGCAAACGCAGATACCTTTAGACACGTACGACACTCGGGTAATATCTACCGTTTGCACAAACACATTCCCTGGCCCGAAGCCACTTCAAAATCTCTACAAACGATGAAATTTATGAAATATGTCCGGTATATTAATTTTATTGTGTGGCATTGTGCCTTTGTCGAGCGTACACAACCGAAATTGGTGACAATATTACGCAGTTAAGTACGAAGGGACACAATCATTGTGTGACGCTAACATCGATTTAAAATGATTTGCAAGTTCCAGCACTTGAGCGACCCTTTAACATTTTTTTTAGCTGTGAAATGACGATGTAACTTGTAAGTTTGATGACCCCTCATTATGTTCTCATCGCTGACGACGACTAGCTGCTTGCAGCCGTGACAGCCAGCGGAAGACGTTTTGCACGTACGGAGGGCAGAGTTCGTAATCAACAAATAAAATAAAAATAATTTAAAGTAAAATTACTGAAATAATTTATTGGTGGCGACCCTGTTTACTACAATAAGTTAACATTTTGGTTTTTGACGTCTTACAGCATCATTCAGCAACTTTTCTGGCACCTGAGTTGAACTCTCTGCAGCACGGACTCGAGTTGACGCGACCTTTGCAGCAACACACGAAGTCAATCGCGACTGGAGCCAGCTTCACGTACAATGCCGAGCATCCTCACCGGTGACTTGGTTTTTATACTTCTTTTTAAGAAAATAGCGCCTTCTAAAGGAGTTTGGGCTGACCTACCGGTCAATGCGGCCTGCAATTTGCAGGTGTACATCTAAGCGTGTCAGCCCACGCTACAGATGCCAGTCGAAAGAGGTCAAGTTGTGGCGACGCCTGCAGAAGTAGATCTTTCCGAGACTGCCATGTACCTTATCTAATTCACTTTCGGTGTGGGTAGGTGCATTAGCGCTGCCGCGATTTCAGTCTACGTTAGACAAGTACTAGATTGACATGGGACATCATTTTCGTACATGCAATCGTAGAACTAACAAAACTTCGCGCGCTAAAAAGACTCAAGCTTTTACACAGCTCAAATGCTTGTTGCTAGCTGTGTACAGCCGTGAAGACGGGGTATAAAGATTACTGAAAAACAGTAATAAATTGCTCAGTTATTTACAGACCAGCCCCCCCTCCCCCCGCCCGCCAATAAAATAATAACTTAACTTTTCCGAGCTCTGACGCTCCGTACTTCTGCAAAACATGAAGAAGTGCCAAGGGCGCTTTATATTTGGGTCGGTGGCCATGTAACACACTCCTAGAAGCTGCATCTGCACCTTTTAACGAGCTTGGTGGCTCGGTGTAGCACCTTATAGCTTTATTGTACACCGCCGTGTGCCAGAGCACGACTTACATGTACGTACGCAAAGGACGATCCTGAACAGGGGCAGTGCACGTCGAAGTCGAAGGATCGACAGGGATATAATTCACAAGATTAAAATAGTGATGATCAGTCGAAATTGGTCAACCATTTCGGGTATTTCCGACATGTTTGCCTGTTTTAGTCTATTGTTTTGACCAGAAAATGTCAGAAAAAGTAAATTCTAACCCCCTATACTACTAACTTAAGTTATACATGTATACTGTAACGCTACGATCATGAAACAAATGTTCTGAAAAAATAAAAATTGTCATCAGCCCCTGTAAAAATGTCACAAATTGTCATTAAATGTGCGTACAGTGTGTCGTCTTCTCGAAAAAGGACAGAAAATGCAGGCTTTAGTCGTGTGTGTGTTTTTTTGTTATCTACGGTATAAGCTTTAATCTTTTCTCGTTCACTCATCGTTGCACAACGAATTATTGATATCAAAAGTACTAATATTTATTGAGACTGCAGTGTTTACGGTACAGTAAAAGTAATCACAAGAATTTTGCATGTCTTAGCGTAAGAGCGCATGAAAATGGTGGTCTTTAGAATCACATCCGAATTGTAGTGGTAGAACTGGTCAAGTGCGGTACGTGAAGTAATGCGTATGGTACCGCCGCCGCTGCTGCCACCTTATTAAACTTCTCTCTGCAAAGCTCCAAGGCTGCTTGGTATCGTCTCCTTATGAGCTTTTTCAAAGTTACACAGCTACTTATAGCCATGCTCCTCGCAAGTATAGCTCTTTCGATAGTAGTTAACGCGGACAAAACCGAGGTTGGTACGGGTGCCTCGAGGCGATCGGACATCATTGCAGATAAATCCCAGACTACCGAGGAAGAGAGAGTGTTCAAGTTTGACACAATCCCTGGCATTGGTATTGCCAGCTCAATGCTCGAGAAAGCACAGCTACAGCTTTGGCTCGCTTTAGGAAAATCGGCAGACGACGTGTTGAGCACGATGAAGCTGACGTCAGTTGAGGGCAATACACTGGCAAACCCGAAATTTCAAGCATGGCTTAAGTACGTCGATGATTTTAACCAGAAGAACCCACGCGAAAGCAAACCAGCGGCCATGGCGCTAACTTCTCACTACGGAGACAATAAAAATGGCCAGGCTCGGCTTTCACGTATACTTGATGCTGGGATGGAGGATGAACACACGAAAGCGATTGCGCTTAAGCTATACGAGCAAAGGTTGGAGAGCTGGGAGAAAAAGAACATTCCCCCGCTGGACGTCTTCAACCATCTACGGCTTGACGAGGATAATCTACTCACGAGTCCGCTCTTAGCTCCCTGGCTCAAGTATGCGAAAGAATTTCACGGACGCAACCCCGACAAGATGTCACCAATGACCACGCTATCCATTCGTCTTAACGACGGAGAGTTGGAAAAAGTACTTGAGAACGGACTGAATTCTGATAGAACGAAGGACATTGCCACAAAACTGAAGAACGAGTTATTCGCGGAGTGGGGGGCGCAGAAGCGTACACCCGACTTCCTATTTGAAAATTGGCTACTCCTATCATTGGACAGAAAAGCCCCGAGTCTTTCGGATCCGGTACTAAAAATTTGGATTCGGTTCATGGATGAGTTCAATATAAAACACCCAGGGGAGAAAACAACATTGTTCGATACGCTCAGGCGTCATTACCACGAGGGTGCCATAGTAGATATGCTCGTCGATGCCAAGAGGGACCCGACCACGAAAGCTTTGGCTGAAAATTTGGAATCACTGCTGCTTTCTACATGGCTTGAGTACAGGTTGAGCCCGTTGGTCGTCCGATATCGAATGCACGCAGGTGATGCACGTGAGATACTGGAAAAGTATGAGGGACTATTCAAAGCAAAGTGGTCAGCTGACTTTTAGCCGTGACAGGAGACCGAGAAGACACGAGCTACCTAGTTTTTAGTACAGCAATCCGCGAGTGCGTGACGGATTCAACTAATTCAGCTGGTGATGCATTAAAAAGGCTACAGCTTTGCTGATTTTAATCCTTTGTTTTACACTAAAGTATTGCAGTCACGCTGCCTTTCCACGCCCCTCGAAAAAAGTAGTGTTATTAATACACATTCCTCACTGCGCCTCGACATTGCTTGCCTTCTAGCTGTTTTTTTACGCTGTGCGAGTGATATGACTATTAAAAAGAAAAAAACGTTTCTTTTTCATCGGAGCATTCTCTATCTCACTGTTCTACCCTCGTCCATCATTCGCGACTGATCGATTGCTTGGCTGGGACTGTTACCGTGGTTGTTGACTATGGTGTTTTCTCTTTTGCTGTTACGGTGACGCCTTTGGCTGATTTTTGGTCGTGTAGGCTTCTTGGACGTCTGAGCGACAGGGTTAACCATGGCGGCGCACGTAATGTCAAGCACATACAGAATGTTAGTCAAATGTGTCAACGGATGTCATCAGCACCACAATTGCAGCGACGCCTCCATTCAGTAGATTAAGAAATTCTTAACATGTTGTCGTATTTCAAGTACGAAGTAGTTAGTTGTGGAGACCCACCGAGTTCAGGCCTCTAAATTAGAACTCGGTTCCGCTTGGCTTCCCAGCCATGATAGTACTGTGAAAGAAAACTTGCCGGAGCACTGGAGGAGCGGCAAATACAATTTGGAAGTTTGCACTTCAAAATTTCGCCTGGCGCCACTGCGCAACTCAAATTCAAAATCGCCCCATTGCGCCACCACTCGTTTCGCGGAACCGACGATTAAGGACCAATGGCAGTCGAGTAGTACCGAGGATCAATCAACGATGCACGTTTGTGTTGTAGCCGATGGTTCTGGACTTCAGAGACTCGCAGATTACGTGGATTTGGCTATTTTGATCTAGGTATTTCTCCCAGGTGTCCCTTTAGATGAGTGTAGTGAACCATCTGCGAGAGAAAACGAAAAATGCAAAAGAAACCTTCGGGGACTTTATGGGGAGTAGAACTCTCCTGGGATGCGACTCTCAAAGTTAATAGCCCCATATGTTGGCAGTTTTAGTGAACGAGGGGAGCTTTCTAGACAGGCCAAACCCTTGAAATTAAAGTCTCCGATACCCTCAGTCCGGTCGTTTAGCGACGATGGGGAGAGTGAGCTAGTGGACGTGATGATTCCTGCCTTCGATCCAACTTTGGTGACTATAGAGCAAGACACCAGTCACTTCCGCTGCTCGATTACGACTGGGACGAAGTTGAGGAGCTCGTGACAAGCTTGAGCGATCCTTTATGTTCGCCGCCTTCGTGTCCTACCTAAGACAATACTATGACTACGACGCAAAGTTGGACACAGATCCTGAGGTCGATGCTTTCTTGCCTATGCTGGAGACGAACCACTATGTCGAATACGTGGACGTCATTGTCCCTATTGTCCCTCCGGATCATTATGTGGAAAGGAGCGACGTCAGAGCGCACCATCTCGCTCCACTGAACCGAGCGCTGAAGCTCTCGGCAGAAACAAATGTCGCGGTTCCAAGCCTCCGAGTCAAAGAGCAAGAGAGGGCGTAAAGCATCCACAACACCCGCTTCGACTTGCCACTTGGATGGACATGTGCCGTCCAACGTCTTTGGATCGTCGGAAAGTGCGAAATCGATTCAATCATTTTAGCGCGAAATGCAGCCGGAAAGGGCTGAAAAAAAAGCGCGTCACCATGGCGCGACCAACCCCAACAAGATCAGTAGACTTGACCGGCTCAGCGATATTTTGGCTTCCTCATCAGAAGACGAGGAAAAAGCCAAGACGGAAGGCTTCAGCCCCGGAAATACATCGAGGCCACGGACCGCACTTTAAGCGTTCGTTCCCCCACATGCTCCTCAGCAGCCTGACTTTAGAGTAAGATTACCCCCACAACGAACAATCGGACAAGGACTGCACTCTGCAACTCCTCACCGGGGTATATCGTCGAAGCAGATATTTCATCACGCAGGCAGCGTAATGCTCCCTCTCGGTAGGATGCACGTCAACGGTGATGTCCGGTACGCCAACATTCCGCATTGCGCTCAGGAGCCCTGTCAAAATGCAGAGTGATTGTCAAGACTCAGACTCACTTTACTCTTATGGTGTTTGTGTTTTGAACTGCAATTATGGTGCGAACTTAGAGCTCGTCAGGAAAACACGCAGTCCGTACAAAGCTCGACTCCAAACAGCCTGCAGACTTAAGACTCAATTCCCACTTATTTGCCCCAATGGCCGAGAAATAAATACGCACGGGAACCTCTGAATTTATTGCAGATTTGACACTAGCGACACCTGCAATTCTCTGTAATGCACCCAGAAATTTGTCGCACTGAGCAGGTCCAAAAACCACTAGACATATTATATTTAAGCCTTTTAAGATACGTGTATTTGGTCTTCCCTTGAGCAGGTAGAGCTGGAAGCGGACAGATATCTCCTCGTCGTACGTTTCTTCGCCCCCCCCCTCCCCGAGATCCACTTCGCGTGCCATTGCAGCAGGTGCTTCCATGCAGCTAAATCCACATGGCCCACGGCGTCCACAAGATCCAGAGCCTCTCGGAATTCTGAAGCTCGAGCTAGAAGGCTCGCTCCTCTTTCGGCTTAATTGACGTTCGACGTTCTCGTCCTCACATTGCGCAGGTGGAGGAAACGCTTGGGTTCGCTTCAATTTGGTACAGCACCTATTACCGATTAATTCCGAATCTTAGGCCAGAGAGCAAATTAAATTTGCTAAATTTGTTAAATCTTAAAGTTGCTCGTTTTTGTGAAAGCTACCGGTCCATATGTTAAATCAAACATACTAGCATAGAGTAATTGCAGAAATTTGACTATTGGTGTGAGCGGTGCACAGAACATTAGCATTAGTCTCGGTATCCTAAATTTTTATCTTTCTTACTTTTGCAGGTAAAATAAGGTTAAAAAAATCGGAGTGAAGTACTGTATCGTACAGTACGACTTACTCCGCCTTTGGGAGACCAAGGTCCTACCGACGACAAGTGACCAGCCACTGTGACTAATATTAATAGTTACTGACTATCGAGCATCCTCCTCAGTCGCTTGCGCAACATCTTGCTAAAAGCAGTTATGATTACAAAACTACATAATCAGACGCCGATTAAACCTTGACACATTACCACAACGTAAGACTCGAAATGTTTTTTTTTCGAGGCCAGCAAGAGACTGGGAAGACAGAGTGACTGGGTTGTATAAATAGCCATTACCAAAAGTTGTGCCTCGGTATCATATTAGCGCATTAAGCTTTAAAGTTGAATACGGCTAAACATCAGTTGACCACTTCGCCTTATATAGTCTCTTGTACTTTTTCATTATTCCACGTGTATTACCTGCGTGTATCCGAAGGCGGACGGCCAACGGGGTCCAATTAGCTCCCCAAGCTAGTAGAAAGCAAACGCTTGATTCCCAAAGCTTCAGCCCAAGCTTTGGTGGACAGGGTTCTCTCTTATCGTTGTCGAATCATGTTCTACAATGACAACTCTTGAAAATGACTCCTGAGCGTATTAAACAGTGTCGTTTTCTCATCTGGATGTTTTAAATTGAACTCATCCATGAACCGGATCCGAAATTTTAGTGCCGGATTCGGAAGCAGCGGCATAAGACTGTCAAATGATAGGCTCAACCTATGTTCAAATATAAAGTTGGGGGTATGTTTCTGTGCCTCCCCAATCTGCGAATAGCTCGTTCTTCAGTTTTGTGGCAATGTCCTTCGTTCTATCGACATTCAGTCCAGTCTCAAGAGCTTTCGCCAACTCTTTATCGCCAAGGCCAATGGCTAGTGTGGTCATTGGTGACATCTCCTTCTCGGGGTTGCGTGCATTAAATACTTTTACATACTTGAGCCAGGGAGTTAAGAGCGGATTCGTGAGTAATTTGTGGTCGTCAAGCAGTAGGTATTCGAAGACATCCAGTGGGGTAGTATTCTTGTCCCTCCAGCTCTCCAACCTTTGCTCGTATAGCTTAAGCGCGATCGTTTTCGTATGTTTATCCTCCATTCCATCATTAAGTATACGTGAAAGCCGAGCCTGGCCATTTTTATTGTCTCCGTAGTGAGAAGTTAGCGCCATGGCCGCTGGTTTTGCTTCGCGTGGGTTCTTCTGGTTAAAATCATCGACGTACTTAAGCCATACTTGAAATTTCGGGTTTGCCAACGCGTTGCCCTCAACTGACTTCAGCTTCATCTTGCTAAACACGTCGTCTGCCGGTTTGCCTGAGGCGAGCCAAAGCTGTAGCTGTGTTTTCTCGAGCATTGAGCTGGCAATACCAAAGCCAGGGATTGTGTCAAACTTGAACACTCTCTCCTCGGTAGGCTGGGATTTATCTGCAATGATGTCCGATTGTCTCGAAGCACCCAGATCAACCTTGGCGTTAACTACTAATGAGAGGGTCATACTTGCGAGAAGCATGGCTGTAGCTAGCTGCTTTACTTGGATAAAGCCCATGAGGAGATGCTGCCATGCGCTCCCTGGGAGACTTGTGAGAGAAGGAAAGAAATTATGGAAGTGATTTGGCCACCGCGGCGGCGATAGCGTAGGCATCAGCTCGCTTACTGTATGCACATGTCCAGTTCATGCACTTGATTCGAATTCTCAAAAAAAAACCATATTCTTTCATGCGCTCTTTCGTTTACTTTACTTAACAAAGCAACACACCCGAGAAACTTGCAAGCGATTTGGTACGGATAACCTTTAATTAGGGCCAGGTAATTCCGACGGATAGTTTTAGGCCAGCTAGAATAAATGTACTGTAGTACTTGTGTCCATGTTTGTTCTTTTAAATTCACGTCTTTGCTCAGGATCCCGAGGTTTTGAGAACCCTCATTTTGCTTTGAAGTTTACGAGCTCACTGTGGTTCGGAATCAGTACTATCTATGTATTGTAAGTTTGCAGGTCTTACATGTCAGATTACTGTGCT